TTAATTTTCGGGTTTTCAACTGAAAACTAATTTGCACACGTCATGAATTTAACTAAAACAACTTCATTTAACTGCACAAAATCTTTTGATGAGGAGATTGAGTTTCAAAACTCAATTCAAGATTGAGTTTTTTTGGGGCCGTTTTACGGTCTTAAAAAATCCCTGAAAAAAACCTTGTTAGCCCAATTATACCAACAAAATTTTGTCAACTTGTCCCGACCCGGAAGTGTCCTGTTTACTTGTTACACAGGATATTAATATAGGTAATCAGGCGATGGCGAGTACAATTAGGGATTAATAGTACGAGTGATGTTTTGAAATTTTGCCAAAATTGGACGAGCCGCCGGGGCGAGTTCAATTTGGCAAATTTCCAAACATCACGAGTACTATTAATCCCTAATTGTACGAGCAACATTGCGTGATTACTTTGTTATACTGTAGTTATTAGAAAATAAACATGGTTAAGAAGGCCGGTAAACTTCAAAGAGTTTCCTATTCCAGCTTAAGTGATGTTATAAAAATGTACCTGAAAATGAACAAATCTTTTTTTTTTGTCTTGTGTTGATTAACTCATGTGGAGTGGTAGCACTCTCCCCCTGACGAGTAAAATTAATCGTTTGGCATTAGACAGACTAAAATAATAAAGTGGGGCGCATCTGAGCACATTGCCACATAAAGGGTTGATATTAAAACAGCGATTGAAGCCCAGGGATTCTATCACTCGCTGTAAAAGAGCACATACTAAAACCAGTGAACATAACATAGAACAATGGCTAATTATGAAGATTTCTAACCATGTTTGTTTTTTATTAACCGTTCAAGTGGCAATGCACCCCGATGGACCCTCCTTTTGTATTTTACTCTGTCTAGCGCCATGCATCCTGTCAACCTCCTTAAGTGGCAATGCACCCTGATGCACCCTACTTTAGTAATTACTCTGTCTAATGCCAGACGATTTTACTCATTAAGTCGAGAGTGCTGCCACTCAATGGGTAACTATAATTTAGTTTGGGGGCAGTGGTCATGCATCAGAAATTGAATAAGTGTGCATATAAATGAAAACACATTTTTATAGTGCCGGTTTCTGCACTTTACTTGGTAAAATTGAAATGCTGTTTTTAGGGTTTGTAATCCAAGTGAGTATATATACACTTTAATTAAGACCTGACCAGGTACGACTGCACCGGAATCACAGGGTTGTACGGTAGGTTCAATAGGCAATTTCCAGCTTTTAGTTTATGTGAGCAAGAGAGGATGGGAAATAAGGTATCATGTCGCTGATTTTGCTGAAAAAATAAAAATGGCGGTCGTGTACAGATGGAGTGGAAGCTTACACTTGTAAATATTGAAATATTTCAGTTGTTTCGGCAGTTTTTATTGAAATTTTTCAGTATAATTAGCAATATGATACCTTAGTTCCCGTCACCCCCTGCGCTCATAAACGAAAAGCTGAAAATGCCTATTCCTACCAGAGGACCTTGTGCTACATTTTTCGCAGTCGTTCCTGCTCAGGTCTTAAAGTGTATCTTGGATTACAAACCCTAAAAACAGCATTCACATATTTTTATAACTGTTTTTAAAAAGGGTTTTATTATCATGCACTCTTTGCTCACAATAATATTTATTCTATATTTGCTGAAATTATCAGCCAGAACAATGATAAGCCTTACACTATAATAATCTCAATGAAAAAGCTGCAGTTTTTTGTTTCTTCCTTCTCAGGTGTCTAGCAGTACCATCAAGGCGAATGTATCATCTAGGGTTACAAAGTTGAAAATTTGAAACGTATTAGTAAAACCATATATTAACCAATACGTTTTCAAAGTTAGAAGCATGTCTAATGCAAAACTTCTATTATTTGTGGAGTACTGTATATTAATGATTGCAATTCGAGAACTGATTTTGACCATACATTACATGGTTGGGCCACTGAATGCTCAGAATATATACCCCCTACAATTTCTCCGCAGATTTTAATTTTGCATGAGAATAGTTTTGGGACAAGGGGAGAATTCTTACTAGTCAATTTCTGTTGAAACTGTGTTACAGTGCCCCCCCCTAGCCCCCCCCCCCGCCCCACCTTGGCTAAAGCTCTGCAATGATATATTCAATTTGTTTATGTGATCTAGCTTAACACATTGGCTACACTGATGAATCATAAAATCATTGCATGAGACAGTGAGAAAATCCTATTTATTATAAGTACGTAGCCACATTTTAATTTTCATGGACCTAATTTATGGGACCTCGGGAATGCAGTATGTTTTGTGGTCCCGAGACTGTCAATGTTTCCTAAAGGGAAGCTAATCATGGGAAACATGGCAGTTGACAACAAAACATACTGTTACCCTTGGTCCCAGTAAATAAGAGTTAATTAATTGTAAAAATCTTAGTCTTGGGGTTCAACATGTATCGGCTGTGGCATCGATAGAAAGCTCTTGTTTGAAAGGATAACACAAGTCTATAAAATATAATGAAAATAAACCGTTCTCGATATTTGGAGCAAAGGCCCCTCCTACTAATTCTTCATGACCAAACTGTATGCATGTATGCCTCACAACACCAAGAAGTATATTTGTTTATATATAGGCTTGTTTGACCTTTACAATCAAGAGTTTATTCAATAATTGTATATTGTGTCAGGTATTAATTGTGATCAAATACTTCTCACAGCTACTGAGCTAGGTCTATGACGACCTGGCCTAATACATGTGCAGTTGGTTGAAAGTTGAAACAACAATATAATTCTGAGTTTATAAATAACTAAATTTTAAAGTATCATTATTCAGTATTAATTGAGACCACTACTTACTTCAATCACTGATATCAGTGATTTGTTTGCAGCAAATAAACTTTGATCTTGTTTATTTTTACAGATCTTCTTTATATTTACACCAGCTCCTGCCTTAATCCCACATATTAATATCAGGACACTCGATTCGACCTCTTCCAGTGTTGTTTCTAGTATTAAAATTTAAAATGAGATTTGAAATGAGCATCTTGATTGGCTAGCATCCAGTCGCCTTCGTCTTGACATTTTGAGCTCTGCACAAAATCATTTACAAATCACCTTGGTAATCCAGTATGTGTGGAGTGTTCGCCGCAAACAGCATGAGTCAACTTTCATATTGGAAGATGCCATCGGAATGGTCCTAATTTTTACTGTGTCTGCAGTGGTATAGATGGTTGTTTCAATACATTAAAAAAATATTATACGTGGTCGTGGAGGAAGCATCGACATCGCAATCTCTATCACTGACACTGAAACTGGCGAGTTTGTTTTTACTCTGCCGGACTTCACCTTATATATAGGAGTATTTCCTCGTCTCCTCCCATGCCAGGATATTTGACAATTTGAGTGTGTCTGTTTGCCAGTAGTTTGGCTGTCAGCTCGACAAAAAACATCAAATGTAGAAATAGAAAAATAGACAAAAATTTTAGGGCAATTCGTAATAGGCCAAAGACTTAAATTTTGGTATAATTTGGACAAAAACTGTATGAGAACTTCGGCAAATTAATGTCTGTTGATCTGTCTTTTCTTCCGGCTAGGCCTAGGGAAAACTTAATAGGCATTAGCCTATATAAAGCAGTCTCTAATCGATTCCGAATCCATGCCTTCTGGTTCATATTATAGAATTATATTTGAATTTTAGAATCGGCCATTTCGGATATATTTCATTGCCCCCATTTATGGGGGTAATTTTCGCACCTATTGCATTTTTTACCCTTGGCGAAGGGTAACTGGACAGTTGCTCCATTATTGGGGTAAGTTTTATCAGGTATAAAAAGAATTACTCCCGATTAATGGAGTAAAAATTACTCCAAACACTCTTACACATCTAACGTGGGCAAAATTTACCCCATTTTGGAGTAAATTCTACCCCTTAGAATTTACAGTGTGTGTTGATTTAGGTTATGTTAGATGCCACTAAGATGGTTTTGACAAATCGAAACACTGACTTGGTCTCGCTAAATCGAAACATTGACATGGTCTTGATAAAACGAAACATTGACATGGTCTCGTTAAATCGAAACATTGGCATAGTCTCGATAAATCGAAACATTGACATGGTCACGATAAATCGAAACATTGTCATGGTCTTCGATAAATCGAAACATTGGCATTGTCTCGATAAATCGAAACATTGACTTGGTCTCGATAAATCGAAACAATCACATGGTCGCGATAAATCGAAACATTGGCATGGTCTCGATAAATCGAAACATTGATATAGATTCCATAAATTGATCAGAGATGCGTTCGCTTTAAACCAACATATTTTCACTGTTAGCTGTCGTGCTACTTTTGCATTATTTGATGTATAATGAAAAATGACAGCATATAATATCAGTTTATCTTTATTGATTACCCTTTTTTATTTTATTAACATTTTTAATTAAGTAAAAAAGATAGCAAAGTTATTTGCATGCGAGAATTTGAAATCATTTTATTTCAGTTTTGAAATTAGTTTATCGATAATTAGAAATCAGTTTATCGAAAGAGGTTAAGTTTAGTTTTATGAAGAACATTATAAAACGTTTTGCGAAGCGTTTGTTGTTGACTTTTACATTAAATTGAAGCTCTGCATATTACGTACTATTTTACATACCTAATATTATTATGTATGTTTGGCAAATTGATAATTTTGTAGTTAGAAGTCATGTTTTTAGGGGATTTTTCAATTATAAAAATATTCTTAATAAAATTATATCGTGTCAACATGACAACTACTTTAAATACTTCATGTTCGGAAAATATATTTTGTCAGCAAGGCGGGGGTTTCTGCATATAATTTTATAAAATATAATTATATTAAAAAATGTTAATAGCTGATTGGCTGCATCGCAACATACACGATAGCAATATGTACCAAACTGCATCCAAAGCTTCTGAAATTCTGTCGTGGAAATCTTTTTTTGTAGGGATATTGGAGCTATCTGATAGAAGAGGATTTTACGTTTATTGCTGTTGTTATTTATATAACGTATAATTAAATTACCTTTACAAATTGCCGTTTTGTTCAGTTTTTCGTTTATTTGGATTACTTCGTCTTTCAATTTTGTGATCTCATTTTTCATTTCTGATAGAAAACTTCTGTTTCCATGAGGTCTGGCTTAAGAGCACATTTCTCCTCAGTCGTATTTTGTCTTGTGAGGCAAATTTCTTCATGAGTACCGAGAGAGATTTCGAAAGCATTAATGCTTGAAAAAAGAATATACCTTATGAAAGCAATCTAGCTAAAATAGGCTATAGGCCTAACATTAACTTTGTACATCAGAATACAACATCTCAGTTCAAAATGCTAGTCAACGTTTAATAACTTTTATTATATGACAACGTCGTGAATTTACTAAATAAGGTCACGAGAACACGAAAAATGTGACAGCGGATTCCACGATAAAAAGGTTAAAAGCCCTATTGCTCCCGTCTAGAATATAATGTTACGAAGACATAAACAGTATTATAATTGAAATACCATTATAAAACGACAACAGCTAGATTACAGCAAACGTGCGAGCAATTTGAGGTAGCTATTCATTTTCTAACTTATTGAGCAAAACAGCAACAAGTATGCTATAAACAAAACCTCAACCTTCTATAAATGCATTTCAAAAAATAATGTTTCAACGAAAACAACTCATGACAACTTATTTGGACATTTTTTAAGTAATTGGACCGTTTGGACGTAAAATATTAGGCTGGTATAAAGCTTCAGTCATTGTTGCGCCTTAAATGGCATTTTTCGCTTTGTGCATGCAGAATCGCCAAATTGAAAAGGTTTTTTGAAATTTTTGGTTATAACGATGAAGAGCTGAAGAATATGGCCTTGCTACTATTTCTTCACTTAATTCACCTTGTTTTAACGATTTTTAATCGGCATATTTTAGCACATGTCCGATATAATCATGATGACAAGAACGATTTTCTTCTTTTTCATGCCTGGTGCCGGCTATTAGTCCAGCGAATGTTCTATAGCCTATGATTTTTTTCTTGAGTTTCTGCTCGTGATGTAATGTATAGGTACGTGTTTTGATCTTCTTACGCGTATCAGCCGGGAAAGCAAAAAATTAATTCTATAATTTATCACGGGCTGGGAATCAAACTTTCGCATCTCTAGAACGACGCTCTACCCTCTGAGCTACAAGTCCAAGTTGCGACCGATGTTATGTTATAGACAAGTCCAAGTTGCGAATGATATATATATATATATATATATATATATATATATATATATATATATATATATATATATATATATATATATAATTCAGTCAAGGTTTGAATGTTTGCGTCGCTACTCTGAGTTTCACGCTTTACGCGATCATCAGGCAACTGATGATCGCGTAAAGCGTGAAACTCAGAGTAGCGACGCAAACATTCAAACCTTGACTGAATTAATTCCGCTCTACTTA